AATAGGTACAAAAAAAAATGAGAAACATGCATTTAAATGGTATTTAAAGTCGGCAGAATGTGGTAATTCTAGCGGGCAATATAACCTTGGTTTATGCTACAGAGATGGCAAAGGAACATCTCATAATAGGAAAGAAGCAATTAAATGGTTACAGAAAACAAGAAATAATAAATATCAGCGTACAGAACCTCAATGTAGTAATCCTGATATATTAATAAATTTTTAAAAAAAAACGTTGGATGAGAACCACTATCCATTTTCATGGATTCCATATGAGTGCGTGAGAATAAAAACCTGGAACTGATTATAATGATTTACTATGATCAGTTACTGGTTTTCATTCTCACGCACTCATAAAATGAATTAAAAATTATAAGAACTGTCGGAGATGGTGGCTTTTCAACTGTCTATTCCGCTGAGTGGACGTATTCACACGATCACGGAGTAAAAACAAAGATGGTTAGCTTAAAAATATTTGATGCGTATAAAGATTGCAAAATACTTCTGAAAGAGGTAAATGTTTATAAATTCAATATTTTTAGTTAATATTTCGATTTTATTAAAGATTTAAATTTTAAAGCTGGAAGCTTACTACCTTATCGGATCTAAGGATCCCACATTTCTTCAATGTTATGGAGCATCAGGCTATTATATTTTAGTTATGCAATATCTACCAGGAACTTTAAAATAAAATCTTAGTTCAGTTGCACAAATGGAATGGAAAGAAAAATTAAATTTATTATCATATATAGCTTATGACCTTCAACTTATTCATTCTTTTGACATTATTTATTGTAATTTACATGATGATACTATATTACAAAATAGCAAATATAATGCATACATAGCTTGCTTTTCATTATCATTATTGGCTAATGAGGCACCATTTACAATACTGTTATCTTTTGGAGAATATGCAGCACCTGAAGTTGTCTGGCGAAAGGTGAAACCCCTGGTGAAACTGGCGAAACCTGGCGAAACCTCGGAGAAAGTCAAAACTCAGCAAAAAACAAATCCTTTAAGACTTTGAAAAGACTAAGCTGTGTTGGTGAATGAAAATATTTTGCGTAGCTATTAAATACAGCATGTGACTTATATAAAAAATGAATAAAAAAAGCAATAAACAAAGGCGATAGCTTTTGTTTGTATATTCTAGTACTATTAAAAGAACATTAGACTTCAAACTTTTGATGAAAATCATTTGAGTATGGCTTACTGTTAGGCGAAACTATTTTTGGAAAATGTCAAAAGAAGAAGCTGGAGAAATTCTGGCAAAATGGTGAAACTCTGGCGAAATAGCGAAATCCTGTCGAAACCATTGGCAAAGATGAAACCCCTAGAGAAGTCAAATATCAAATCCTCTAAGTCTTCAAAATGACTGAGCCATGTTAGTGAATCAAAATATTTTGCGTGTGGCTAATAAGCATAGTATATGATTTATATAAAAAAATGTATAAAAACAAGTAATGTAATAGCTTTTTGTTTGTATTTGAATAATATTAAAGGAAAATTAGACCTCAGACTTTTAAACTTATAATTAAATCAACTCAGCTATATAAAAGAAATTTATCTAAATATTTAAATAAATTTTATTGTTATGTTAAGATTTTTTCTCTTTAAAACTTCCTTTAAGTACTATACATATGTAAGTATAGTCAGACTTCTCTAAGTGCATGCTCTTGGGACCACAATTTGACAGCATGCATTTAGAGAATACAGTCAGACCTCTTTAAGTGCATGCCCTTGGGACCCAATTTAACAACATGCATTTAGAGAATAATAAGAAAAAGTGTATTTATAGTAGTCAAGTACAAATTTGTACAAGAATCTAAGCATGTATTTAGAGAGGATGTGCACTTAGAGAGGGTGTGCTTAGAGAAGTCTGACTATAGTTCATTAACATTATTATTACTGACAATTATTTCTGATTCTCTAATTTATCTAGCCCTAAGTCTAAGGGCTAACTTTAAGAAAATAATTGCTATGTTATTGACCTATAATAATAGATCAAATATAAAATTTAAATCAAGCATCATATATGACAGCATAATTATACATTTATGTCAAATTAAATGCTAGGGTTAGATAAGAGCCTATGATAAAAGTAATGATTGTATCCATTTCGAAATCCAAATCTGGTCATATGTGGGTAGGTTACCCAGGTAGTAATTTTTCTAAATACAGTTTTTACTGTTGTTGCTTTCTTTTCTGTAATTCAGCTTCCTGAAATGCAATTTCTCAGATTTTATCATTCCAATATTTTTTTTTCAGACAAAATACATTTGGGTTTTTTTATTTTATCAATATTCACTTTACTGACAGTTTAATTTAGGGAATTGATATTTCCATACCCTTTTTTGACACTCCTGCTAGCTCTAAACCCTAACCAAACCCTAATAATTTATATTGATTTTTATTAACAGGGGTGTGGCAATATCAAAAAAGGGTGTAGAAATATCAATTTCCTTAATTTATCGATAGTTTAACTCACCACTAGTTTATTTTATTGATAGTTATTTTACCAACAAAATAATTCCGGTTATTGCCGTTAGGTCAGGTTTAGAATTAAAATTAAGGTTAGTATAATTTTTAAAAAACCTGTTGATAAAATATGTTATTAGTAAAACAAGAGTTAGTAAATTGATAACATAAATAATATATATCAAATATATATATAGTAACAAAAAGATTAATAATTATATAAAAGTAGCTTGACTTTCTTTAATTACTTTCTATTCTTGCCTTTTTTACTAGATTTATCACCTTCTACTAGTTTTGCCACCTTTTATTAGTTTCGACACCTTTCGCCAGTTTCACCATTTCGTTATTTTAATTTTTTTTTGGCGAAAGTCAAAACTAGATTTCGCCTTTCGCCTGTGGCAAAACCTCGAGGTTTCGTCTAACAACACTACTCCCGACCTAATTATTAGTGAAGTTCGAAGGCATAGCAACGTATTATTCAGATCTTATGAAAAATGTTTGAACGTAGACCCAAAACAATGACTGTCAGCTTCAGAAATCTATGAAATTCTTACTAATTGGAGAGATAATATGATTGAATTTTATAAGCCTGATGAATTAAATCTATCAAGTGAAGATAATTTTGGTATTTGGAATTTAAGAATAATTAGTCAATTATTTCTGTATTACAAACAGTTTTTCACATTTTAGAATATGAAATGTCGAAAGAATTAATTAGATTTATATTCTGGGATGAGCTAAATAACATTTCAAAAATTGATGAAGGAAATTTTGGTATGAAACTTGAATTGAATCATATGTGATATAATTGATTTATATATATTTCTTATTTTACAATGCTTAGGTATAATAAGGAAAGCTCATTAGACAAAAATAAGAGCTTATGTCATTTGCAAAAAATTAACAAATGTGAAAGATATAAAGTATAATCAATACACAGCATTTATTCATAAATTAACAATGCATATTAGGATAGGAGACCTTTGCGAAAATATCATTCAACTTCTAGGAGTTAGTAAAGGTATTTTCAAATTAGTTAATCGGTTTAATTACATATTTAAATTATTTTTAATTTGTTTATATATAATAAAAGATTACATAAAAAACTAATATTATCTTGTAATGGAATATACGAATGACGGTAATTGACAAGAGTTTCTTCGAACAAAATGTAATCTAGGTTGGAATCAAATACTTAAGCTAGCTTATCAAATCGCAAATGGTCTGTGTTATTTACACAGTGAACACATTATTCACCGAGACCTAGTAAGATATTTTTAACATTAAAAATCGATTAATGGTTAAATACGCTCTTATGCTTAATGATATTAAATATTCTGATTAGCATAATACGTAAAAACATTGTTATTCATTATGGAAATGCAAAAATAACTGATTTTGGAAATGCTAAGAGCAGTATTGTCACGGAACAGTTGTGGACAGTGAGTTTGGACACTTTGAACAATTTTGGACAATTAAATAAATTAAAATTACTCAAAATTTTATTAAGATAATCTATATTACTTTCTAAGTAAAATATATATAGCATCTAAAAAAATATATAGTTATATATATTTTAGACAAATTTATTAATTATTAAAGCTTAAATATACTCTGGACACTTTTAGACACTTGGATATTTGGACATTGGACAGTATCAAAAAAGCCTTTGGACAGTCAAAATGTACATCTCTGCTCTATGTATAGGATGTTTACTAAACTCAAATCGTATACACAATACTTGTACATTTAATATCTCAGCTAAGTTATCAACTAAGCTTCTAGCAAGAACAACCTACAGTAACTTTAACAAGAAACTTAACTTACATACTAATTTGCTAGATTTGGTATACTCAATTGTACTTCGAAACCTTATACAAATACCAAGTTCATCTATAGTTGCAATCTACAATAATGCAATATTTGATATTTTCAAAAACAACCAAGCATCACAAATTCTACAACAAATTGCAGCCAATAATATGACTCAAACACATCTTACATTCTATACAGATAGATCAGTTAGTAATATTACTACTGAATGATGTGCAATGGGTATTGGCTGAGTACAAACTACAGACAATACTATTCAATAAACATTTTCTGCAGAAATCAAACTTTGGCCTTCATTATAAAGCTGAACTAATTGCAATCCTTTCTGCAATCAGCACATGCTCTAGAAACTGTAATATTACAATCTACACAGACTCACAATCTATAATATCAAAATATCGCAAGCTCCTAAACTCACTATCTACATTCAACAAACAATATTCTTATAATTACTGGCCCATTTGGCACATATTACTCAACCTTATCACAACATACAATCTCACTATTAATCTTCACAAAGTCACTGCACACAGCACTAATATGTTCAATAATGCTGCAAATGAGCTGGCCAAAAGCTCTAACCAATTAATTACAATGGACCTAATATATAACAACATCTATAACCTATCATATTACCTGCAATATGAAGAATTCGCAATTGAGCAACCAATATGCAGATTAATTAAAAATATATGCAATGCCCACATCATTACTATGTGGTCTTCACAACACTATATGGAAAACATTATACTATTATTCTCACAAATTAACTGGAATATGACATGGCTCTATCTAAACAATAATTACAAAAAATCATCACTGTATACTAGCTTTCAATTATGCCAAGAGAAAACGTTTAAAATCAAATTGTTACTTGTTTTACTTCCAACTTTATCATATCTACATTCCTTATATCCCAAATCATTCCTACAAACAAACTGTATAACATGCAACATACGAGAAGACTATTTATACTGGCTTATATACCCAAACACACCTATTTTAAGCACTATCATCACCAGCACAATACAATAATTTTTCATCCTAACAGACTTGAAACAACAAGCACACAACTTCAAGACCTCCACAACAAACTCATCAATCATCAATGCCTCAACTCTAATTATTACACATGTAATAATACCAATATATATACAATAATCCAAGGTTATATTCCTATAATGCTTGTAGAAACTATACGTGAATATACTGACTTCAACAAAACTGCAAATGAAATTACTATTAAACTCTTATTACAATTATTACAAAATATATACAACCAAATCTGGAAACCATATTGCACAAAGTTTGCAGAATGAAAACAACAACACAATATATCACCAAGACCTACTAATAGTTCACATAATAGTAACATATTATCTAAAACAAATACACGCTACTCCAGATCATTATTTACTTACAGCTGCAGCTGTGGTCTTTCTGATCACTTACACCAAGATAATACTTGTCCACCTCTTGGTAAAGCTAGTAAAAAATATCTATGTGGGTGTTTTTATAGATTAAATATAGTACTCCAACTAATAATATTCTAAATTATCAAATCTAGGTGAGTTTTAACCACTCTAGTAGGTTTAGGTTGCAGATAAATTAGATAGAACTAGATAGTTTACTGTTTATAGTATATCTATAGTCTGAGTCTCATTCTTGTAAAAAATTTGTAACAATTGGCTCTGGCCAGAGAATCTCTATGAAATA